AAAAGGAGAGATGAAAATGTGAACGGTTCACAACTCACCGAAAAGTAACTTAAGTGAGGAAATGCTTATCGTGCAGCTGAGTGAGAATTTCTATCTCTGGTTAAAACTCATAAAATTACACGTTTATTCGATTAATTTTCTCTTGCAGTGTAATATACTCACGCGATATAAAAACTTATCGAAGAACATCGGATTTTCAACGATAAAACTTATAAATTGACATGCTCGTGTAAATTTAATCCAAAAAACAAATTGAAAAAACTAATATGTCGCACGGACCGATTATTTGATCAGTTTTTTTCTTTTTTTTTTAGCTCGAATCACTTCTTTAGTGAAAATGTCGGAAAAAGTGTATTGTAAGTTTTGTGAGGTCAGTTTTGGTGATGTGGAACGATTTAACATGCATATGCACGTCCACAAATGCGCGTCAACAGACAAAATATTGATTTAAACGGTTTTATATCGAGAGCACTTTAGGTTCGTTCCGAAAATAAAAAAATTTGATATGGAAAAATAGAAAAGCATTCAAAAATGCGCTCGTGGTTCCGTTTTTGACTAATAGTTTTGATGCACTGGTGGAAGTTTAGGGTATGTACAGTACCGTGAAGATAGGTTATTCCGCGTGGGTTATAATTCCGTGTACTTGACAATCAGTTCCATTTTATGCAAATTCACTCAAAAAACTAGAATTTTTTGATATTTCAACAGAAAATGCACTGCGCATCACAACATTAATAACGAGTGTAAAATGCGTGTAATTTTAAATGTCCTGTAAAAACAAGATGAGGCCATCTCAAGCCATCCATGTAAAATTCAAGTGACGTTTAATTTTACATGCATGTAAACTTCAAGTCGTGTAAATTTAAGAACCCAATTTAATTTTAAATGCATGCTCTTTTTAAGTCCATGAAAATTACAAAATAATTAACTGTGCAGATAAGCAAAATTTCAATATGTTTGGATCATTGTATTTCAAGAAAATGTGTTTTCATTTTAGGAAATCTAGTGTTTCTAAAATAGCTCTAACTTCTTACAAACTCATCCAAATAAGCCCAATACTACACACTTAGAAAAATTAATGTAAATTTAAGTGCTCTGAGAGTGACATATACGAGCGTCAATTTTGACATGAAATTGAGTCACAATAGACACAAAATTCAGCTCATTCAAACGTACTTTCGAACTTTTCAGTCTCGCAGCACTTAATTTTACATGACATGTGTGTTTACGCCTCATCCTTTATGTAAAAGATGGATTCCGTCACGTGTAAGATTAGGTATTTCTAAGTGTGTATACCGATAACCAATAAATGGTTGATGAGCCAGCAGGCAAAAATTAAGAAATCCATCTTTTTAAGTTGTGCTCGTACAGCTGTTCCTCTGAAATGTACGCTCAATTTTGAGATACACTGTATGTGGAACTTCCAGCAAAAAGTTGACTCAAAGCTGACTCCTTTTTATTTTGCTTCAGTGGTATAACTGGCATAGTTGGACATCAACGAATACTTTCGACACTTTGTATAACGTGTAGAACGAGAGTGAAATCTGGTTTCCCTAGGATTTTTTTTCCAGTTTGCAGCTGTAACGACAATATTACGATTCCAAGATTTAAAAAGAAATATTGCGAACGTATTGAGGAGCTTATCGGAATTTAAGTGTCAACGATCAAAAATTTATATCTTGATTTAAAAATCGAGATGAATGTCTACGGGATCGATAAACATATCGTTGTGCTCAAAAAACGAAGATATATCAGATGATGCATAAAAATCGGTATATTTTTCGAAGTTAAACAACCCAATTGGTCAAAACAATGCTGCGCCATTTATGGATGGTCCCTTATTTTACTTCCATGGCTGTGTTATATTTAACTCGTGGCTAAAAGTGACAGATTAAAAGTTATGGAATAACCCAGCTACCTGAGCGTTATTATTTCTGATCGAGTAGAAGTTACATTGTAGAAGTTAAGTCAACCGTGGCTGACTTCTGTTTGAAAACCGATCGATCGAAAACACCGGGATTTTCGAAACATTGAAAATGACTGTAGAAATGTTTAAACACGAGTTAAATTTAACTCAGCAATTGGGACACAGCCCAAGAAGTATTTCTTGATTACTTTTTCGAAGGGACGTATCAGCTTTTGTAAACAACTGGAGTAACGGGGAGCTCGACCACGCATGCTAACCCTACCATCAGATAGGGGAAATTTTCGCGAACTTTTCCAACACTGCAGGTGATGAATCTCAGAATTACGAGTTCGTGGTGGACTGTTAAGGATCATTCTGAGGATCTTGTTTTGGATCCTCTGAAGCTTTAGGTGGTGGCACTTAGCACAACTCTCCCAGATTGGCATACCATATTCAACAGCCGGTAGAATAATCTGCTTGTGGACAGCAAGCTTGTTTTTGAGGGACAGGGTGGACTTCCTGTTTATCAGAGGGTAGAGGGACCTGATAAAAATGTTACACTTGTGGATGTCTTGTTCACATGGGATCGGAATAACAATTCGCTATCGAGGGTGAGACCAAGGTAGACTACTTCACTCGACCATTCAATAGGAGTGCTATCAACATGGACCTTGACGTTAGCAGGCGAAACAAGCCGAAGGGAATTCGAGTGTGGAAACAGAATGGTTTGTATTTTAGCTGCATTGATACAAATTTTCCAACTCTTGAAATATTCGGACAGAATATCCAGGCCTGATTGTAGTTTACTCGCCAGAGCACGGATCACTCGACCCTTATAGATGATGGAGGTGTCATCTGCGAACATTTACAGGATACCACCACCCGGCAGGGGAGGAACGTCTGACGTGAGAATGTGGAATAGGATAGGCCCAAGCAGGCTACCCTGAGGGATCCCTGCATCAACGTTGAACGTATCAGAGGGGACATTGTTCAAGTAGAACTGGAATGATTTGCCCAACAAGGTAGAGGTAGATCGGGAAGTTGTATCGATGCAGCTTGTATACTAGGCCATCATGCAAGACATTGTCGAACGCCTTCTCGACGTCCAACAATGCCATGGCAGATATATTGGAAACGGACTTGTTCCGCTTGATGATGTTAGTAAGCCGTGTGAGTTGGTGGATGGTAGAGTGGCCTTTCCTTAACCCGAATTGCTCTTTAGAAAGATGTTATCATTTGAAAACACCAGCAGACGACTGAGTATCAACTTTTCGAATAGCTTCGAGATAGAGGACAAGAGGCTGATGGGGCGATAGCTTTTGGCACTGGTAGGATCTTTGCCAGGCTTGTGTATTAGAATTGCTATGGCTAACTTCCAGCATGCAGGGTAGGAGCCATGCTCCAAATATTTGTTGAAGATAACGGTAAGATGGTTGAAGAATTCAACACTCAAGTTTTTCAACTCGAGGTTGACTACACCATCCATCCATACCTGCGGCCTTCATATTTTTAGTACATATCAGCCGATATCCTATTATCATCATCCACTACTACGGGGGTGTCAGCGACTCTAGACATTGCCTTCAGTACGGCAAGCTCAGGGGGCACACCATGGTTTGGACAAGATTATGTGAAATCACAAGATGTTGGTCAAGAGCATTGGCCTTTTCAACTGGAGTTATGAGTAGAGATGGGTCCGAGTTCTGGTCAACAGAGGAAAGCGGAGGGATCAATCTCTTATTTTTCAAAATTTCGATCATCTTCAAAAATGGTTTTGCGCAATCTGGGAGAGAGCGAATCTTGTAGGCAGAATCGTTATTTCTTAATGAGTTGAGGCACGACAGCAACGCTGTTTTATAACTTTTCAGATTCATGCAGAACGATGTGCAACCAAGTGGTACTCGATTATGATGACTGGGTTTGGGGAGAACGCCAGGGAGAACGTTTATTTCATGAAAACAGGGATAAAATGATCACTTTTTAATCATACATTTTTCAACAGTATTTTATGTAAAAATAGAAAAACATTTATTGTAGCAGATTTTGAGAGTTATTTCCTATCGAATGCTGTATTTGGATTTCAATTTCATCTATAAATGATAAAGTTTTAAGCGGTTAAAACCTTACACCTTTTCGTGGCGGTCGCAATTTTAGATTTTCGATTTAACCCCAGTACTTTCCCGTAAGACGTAGTCTACGTCAAAAGCAGGATTGATTTTTTTAAATATTTATTGAGAAAAGTAATAAAAATAAGGAATTTTGGAAAATTTATAAGATCCTGGTTAAAAAAATCGTTATTTTGGTCTTTCAAGGTTCTGCAAGTTGATCCAAGGACTACAACGATTTTAAAAATCCATAGAATTCTGAAAAGAATACACCATATATTAAGGATTATTCACATTTATTTATTTTTTATTTATGGCCATGTGTTCCGCGCATACCTACTTTAAGCAAAAAATAATAACTTTATGCATAAAAGTAGAATCTGGTCTTCGATGAAGTTGTTATAATTGAGCAATTTTTGGAATGTTGTCAAGCAACTAAATGGTTTTGTTCCGTTCCCCATACAAATTTTAAAGCTCTCCCAAAAATCAAGATCGTAGCCAAATTCATTCAAATTTGGCACAGTTGCTGGGGATCGAAAGAGCTGTTGGGAGCTGGTGATTGTGATCCGCCATATAAAGTTGATCCGCCCTAGTGTACAGCTTTTTATCACAAATATTCTATACTCTTCGGATGCAGATACCAATAAATTAAACTTTGTCATCTTCTGAAAAAAATAGCAACAAACACTTCTTTAAAAATTAGATTAAGAGGTATTTTTTGTATAGGTGATCAGATATATGTGTGCTAAAACGCAATATCTTCCAAAAAAAAAAAACCAAATTCATCACCCTTAATTAAGTATTAGGCAGCCACAATTAATACATATCATATGACCATCGGTAGAACCATAAGCCAAAACGTCTTCCGCTATCAATCTCTTCTCGAGTTCGTACACTACCTCGACACAGCTCCACGTGCGCCCCCTTCAAGAACAATGTGTGATAAATCGTCGCATGCCTAATAAAAATACTTTCCTTCGCATCGTTAGAATCGCACCAAGGGAAACCAGATTTATCCCCACACCAACCGCCACACATACACACGCGTAACGTTGGAAATAAATCAACTGTGACAAAAAGGCAACAGCAAGCATAACAAGTCCCAAACACGAACAAACGGCTAAACAAGTGTATTAGAAGAGAACACGCGAGAAACGAGATAAAAGTGACCACTGTGATCCCTCCATTGTTGACGGGCCACTGGAATCTGTCGGCTAGTGGCGCCCTGTAGCAGCATCCTACGCATATTCGGCAACAAATTACAACCGAACATCTGACAGAAAGCAATCATCAGCAATGGCGAGGACGGTCCATTTGTCGTCCAAACGAGCTATCATAGGACTTACTATGCTACTCTGCTTGATAGGTGAGTTTGGTTTAAGTTGTTTTTTTAATCATAAATTTAACGAATTTGAATAAGAATTTAAAAAAAAAAGAAACCCCCCGAACTACAAGATTCGGATGAAAGATTTCAGGTAACATTCTAGAAACGCAATAAAAGCTAGCACATTGTTGTTACAGCTGAAAACTGGAAACACACACTAGCGAAAGCTGACTTTACTCTCGTTCTATACGTTATACGTAGTGTCAGAAGTAGTGCGCTGCAATCGCACAATGATGCGTTATAGTGCGCACTACTTTCGACACTTTGTATAACGTGTAGAACGAGAGTAATATTTGGTTTCGCTAGGGTTTTTTTCAGTTTGCAGCTCTAACGACAATATTAAGATTCCAAGATTTAAAAAAAAAAGAAACATTGCAGAACGTATTGAGAAGCTTATCGGAATTTAAGTTGAATATTTTTTGGATGGTGCATAGAGGAATATTGCCCTAAGAATCTTAAGATTGGGCCCATCGGTAAAAACCTCCTGTTTATCAAATATTCTTAGAACAATACGTCATCTGGGCACTAAAAATCGATTTTTTTTGTATGGTGGGAAAAATTGGCAAAATATTAGGGACACTTGGGCCGACATTAGGGACATTAACCCTATATTATATTTTTTTCGTGTCGTAAATAGTTCAGCAGCTCACTTTAACTCAAGCTGCTTAACACTGGTTTTACTAAAAACCAGGATTTAAAAATTGCCGCATATTACCGTTATTCTGTTAAAACTCCTCAACGTTATTCTGTTAAAATTCCAATAATGAATAATGTACCTGCAACAAACATTATGCCCCTTCGGCCATCCAGCGGAAAAAGCAATACCTTGGTAAAATATTTCAAATGTTTACAAGTAAGTATCACAGATTGTTGTGTGCGCATTCAATCTCTGGTCAGTAAAAGGTCGCGTCAACTGCACCCTTATCGACAATTTCCCTCCGACACTGCGGATCAATTCAGCCAATCAGCAATTTGCATTCTCGCAATCCTGCGCGTAACTTAAGCCCCTTGCATTAATCTCATTGACTACGCAATATTACCATTTCAATTTTCTCCCACTGCACTCTCCCATCCTGCCTGCAATCGCATCATCATAGTGACTTGACGGGACGCTGAGTAACGACTTCCAATTTGTCAATCGCTCGAGACGCCACCATCAAGCTTCACTTTTGCAGCCCTTTTGGGGACGAACCCTCGACGTGGGGCATGGGCGCTTCTTAGCACCGACCGACACACAGGTAATAAAGCCATCAATTATGGTAACACCACTTCACGGGGGAAACAATTTAATTAGTCGTAAAAACCGCTCCGGGATAAGTTCGGCGTTGGGTTGGTGCATGCCTGCACCATATGAGGGTAGTTAAAAAAATTTACTACGTTTTTTATTGTTGTTGCCTACTTGCAGCTGCGGCAAGCGTGGAATGCAAAAAATTACCCTTCATGGATGGTGTGGCTGCTGCTAGCTAATGCTGATGATTCACGAGGCGCATTTCTTAGATGGCTTCAGCTTGGCGAAGATTGTTGCTCGTGCTTACGCATTTACCGGGCTCAGCGAAACAGTATTGATCAAAGGGAGCAGAAACCATCAATTATGTTGGTAAAGAAATTACCGTGCTTCAAACTGAATAACGGAGGTCCTCGGGAGGTTATGTAAATGTTTGTTTTGGTTCATTTCAACGATTGTTGGCTGCACATGAGTCAAGTGATTTGACCGCCCCACTGGAGATGGTGTTGCAAAGATTGCTTTAGGTTTGCGATTTCATTTCCGGCGAAAGCAAGAGACATGATCTCTAAACTGGCTGGACCACCCGTATTGCATTGAAACGTATCGGAAGAGATGGTTGCAATTTCTCAAAAAAAAAACTTATGGAGCAAATTCAATTAGCTATTCGTGGATATGACAGTTTTAGAAATTGTATGATCACACTAACGCAGCCACGATGTGAAATCATCCTGGGAAATCACTTTAAGGTGATACGGCACGTCATGCAAAAATGGCTGTCCCCACAATCATTAAATAAACGTGTTTTGGTATGCGTAAAAAAGACATCTTCATACAAAATAGTAAATTACTAATCACATACCTTAAAAAATGGGCCAAAATTATACATATTTGTACACTTTCCCACCAAAATATTGCCAATTCATTCTCGCATTCGCAATATTTGCATTAAAAAGTACGATCAGTCGATTTTGTTCTGCTCTGCGCATGTAGAGTACTTCACCAGTGTGTTGAAGAGTTACTTGGTTGATTTTTTTCCACTGCGCAGGTCATCTTCGAAACCACCTAGGGGAAATATACATTTACGACGACTCAAACGTCTAAGATCCAAACCACTCCGAACCTACTGCCAGTCTCGTTGTCCTTTTTCCAAGCAACATTTCGCACGTGCTAGTAACAATTATCGCACCTATAACCGTTATCTGTACAAACGCTACTGTAAACGAACTCAGACTCTACGCAGACATCCACGACATTTTTGGAAATTTGTCGACTCTAAACGGAAGGAGAATGGGTTACCCGTTGAGATGTTTCTCGGCGATGAAGTCGCCACCTCCGCTTTGGAAAAGTGCAATTTGTTTGCCACTCACTTTAGAAGGGCATTTAATGATTCAACGTCGTCTGCACGTCAAATCACAGAAGCTTGTAGATATACACCTAGTGGGGACTGTTCCCTGAGAAGCTTTGCGATCACGTCGAATCAGGTGGACTCAGCAATAAACAAATTGAAATACTCAGTGTCCAGTCCAGATGGCATACCGTTAGCATCCTGAAAAAATGCGGCGAAGAGTTGATATTCCCTCTTACGACACTTTGCAACATATCATTACGGAAGCGTAGTTTTCCCACAAGCCTGAAAACATCGGTCATGTTCCCGTGTTTAAAAAGGGGGATCAGACAGAACATCGAGAATTGGTTCGGAGTCGAGCCAGCCAACGGCTGAAAGTCTCCTTAATAAAGATATAAAAAAAACATCGAGAATTACAGAGGAATAACTTCGTTGTGTGTTTGTTCGAAGGTTTTTCAAATCATAATAAATGATGTACTTTTCGACTCCTGCAAGAATTATATTTCTACGGATCAGCACGGTTTCTACCCCAAAAGATCAACATCTACCAATCTCGTCCAGTTTACTTCGTTTTGCATACGCAACATTGATGCTGGTGCTCAGATCGACACCGCATATACTGATTTGAAATCAGCTTTCAATAGAGTTGACCACGGAATATTACTGAAACGTCTAGGAAGAATTGGTGTCTCTGTGGATCTTTTTAGCTGGTTTGGATCATACCTTACGGATCGTAGCCTCACCGTTAATATCGGATTTGAATCTTCGGAACAATTTTCAAACTTATCTGACGTGCCACAGGGTAGCAACCTGGGTCCTTTGTTATTCTCACTCTTCATCAACGAGCTTTCTCTCGTACTACCATCTGGCTGTCGTGTGTTTTACGCTGATGACGTCAAAATATACATGATTATTAAAAGTATCGAGGACTGCTATGCTCTACAATTGCTGCTGAATAGTTGCTGACGTTGAGCATCCACAAATGTAACGTTATATCGTTTCATCGCAAGCTCAACCCGATTACGTATGATTATTCAATTAATGGTCAGTCCCTTGAGCGTTGTCTTCAAGTTCGTGATCTTGGTGTCATCCTGGATTCAGCGCTGACCTTCCGATCGCACTACAACGAAATTATCTGTAGAGCCAACCGATAGCTGGGATTTATGTTCAAAATATCCTGCGAATTTACCGATCCTCTCTGCCTCCGGTCTCTGTACTGCGCACTGGTGCGATCGATTCTGGAATCCAACTCTGTAGTATGGTGCCCATACCAGTCAACCTGGACTGGTAGGATCGAAGCAATTCAAAGAAAATTTGTGAGATATGCCCTACGACGCCTTCCGTGGCGAGATCCGTTAAACCTGCCACAATATGGAGATCGATGCAGATTATTGGGACTGCAGACGCTTGAGCAGAGACGGAATGATGCCCAAGCGGTGCTTGTAGCTAAACTTCTAACAAGAGAAACTGATGCACCGGAGCTACTAGGTCAACTTAACCTTTACGTTCCTGAACGATTACTTCGCCAACGGAACTTTTTGCTGCTTGAGCCCCGCAACTCCTTGTACGGCCTTGATGATCCTGTCCGCTTTATGTCGACTAGGTTCAACGAAGTCTACATCCTCTTCGACTTCAACTCTACTGGGGCAACATTTGAGCGTAGACTGACTAAATTGCATTAATGGATCGAGTGAGATTCGTTATTGTGAAAGGTGAGTAATATTCCATTGCTCCTAAATTGTAACAATTATGCTACCTGTATCCTTTTTTCTCGATTCACCACTGCCGACGAGCATTGCTTCGGATGACGGATGTCCAATGGAGCTGATAGAATTATAATTTTTTTTATGTTTTTGACTACAGTTGATATTTGAAGCCATGTTCACTTTTGTTATGTTCACGGATGTGCTTGTTTTGTAATGTTTGTACTGTATTGTGAAAATATATGGGGTTTTACGCCATTTAAATTGGCTTTTCCCCATCACATTCAATAAGACGACGAAAAGTCAGATGAATAAATAAATAAATAAATAAATAAAATAAAAAATAACTGTTTTCACTAGCTTTTACTTCACAGAACCACACTAAAAACAATTACGACACGTGCTTCTACAAGCACTTTCAAGTTAATTCACTTTAAAGATGATATTTACTTAAATAATATCATTTGAATCGTTAAAAACGCATGCCGCGAATAATTTTGTAAGCTGAAATTGTTTTGTTTACCTTTTTTACTACACACCACATTACGGAGGTGTGTGTACGAATCATCTATCATTGCATCCAGTGTTGTCAATTTAATTGAAACAAAGTGTTTAAAAACAATGTTTTTGAAGGTTCTTCAACTGTGTTCAATTTAGAAACCATCACTAATTAAAATTAAAAACAATTTCTTATTTTGTTTTTCCAGAA